TGGATCCCGCCCCGGGACCACCCTGCTCCCACTCCCACCCCAGGACCGCCCCCATTTTCATGCTTAGGGATCAATGGCAAGGACGGATCCTGCCCTGGGACCCCCAGCCCCACCCCACACTCAGCCCCATTTTAACCCCGCCGGGAGTGACATCAGGGGTCGATCCTGCCCCACCCGCAGCCAGGATCAGCCGCGTTGTTATCCCTGCCGGGAGCGATGTCAGGGACAGATCCTGCCCCGGGACGCCCCCACCCCTGGGAGCAGCCCCTTTTTAGCTTTGCCAGGAGGGACGGAGCCAGCCCCGGGACCCGGCCAGGCCCCCAGCCCCACTCACGCGATGCTGCTCCCACATTTCTCACAGACGTGCAGCTTCTGCACCCCAGCCACGGGTTTGCGGGCAGCGGCCGAGAGCCGGCTGGGGAAGGGGGCCGCGGGACCTCCTGTGGGGACACGAGGCCATCAGGGTCCTGCCACCCCCGTGCCAAACCTCCCTCCGTGCCCCGCTCACCTCCTTCCTCGTCCTCCAGAGCCTCCTGGAGCAGGCGGAAGGTGCTGGATTGCCGCGGGGCTGCCCGCAGCTCCCGGTTCTCCTGCAGCATCTTGTAGACCTCCGAGTCCTCCTCCAAGCGCCTCATGGCCGGCTCCGAGCCCTGGCTGTGGGGCGCAGCCCGAGGGGAGATTTTGGGGGGGGTTCCCAGCACCCGGATTCCAGGATCCACCCGGCTGCACCCCACTACCCGTCCGTCACCTGCTTCCTCCACCCCGGGAGCTGCCCCAGCCTGCCCGGCCCTCCCACGGCCCCACCTGCCTACAGGTGAGTTAACCCTTTCCACGGGCTCCCTCAGCACCCACGGGTGACAAACAGGGGTGGGGACATGGGGCTGGGGGCTCCCCTGCCACGGTGCCCCCCCCCAACAGCCTCCAGCCCGCTCCGAACCTGTGGCAGGTGTTGGGAGAGGGTGAGGAGAGGCGCCTCCCCCTGAGGCTTTCCCAGAGGTTTTGGGGGGCTCCGAGCTCCGCTGAGGGTGGGCAGGGGGCTGGAGGCAGGACGGGTCCCTGGGAGCTGTTCTGGCGGCTCAGGCGTCCTCGCTCCTGGCAGGGGGAGAAGCGCTGGATGTCCTTGGGGCGCCGGGATGGGCTGGGACGCTGCAGCAGCCCCCCAAAATGGCCTGAGGGTGCCCACAGAGCCTCCCTCTCCCCTCAG